AGCTTAGTTTGCATTTTCGTTCAGTATGCCCAATACTGCTTGCTGGTTTACTGAATTTTGATTTTCATATCCCAGTAATATATGGAATCAGGGCACTTTTACTTCAGAAATTCAGCAACTTAATGGATCAAATGGATTCTACTGATGTTATTTTGACATGACAGGCTAGAAATAGTTTTTCGAGTTAAATGTTCTATTTGATGTAGGTCTAGAATAAAATATATCAACGTTAATGTTAAACAAATCACATATAATAATAATCTTTATTCACAAAAGGTTACAAACCCATGAGTGTCATGGTATACAATCAATCATTTAATAATAAATATAGGTCAATGGTGACATATAACAATGTCATATAATAGTCTCTAAAAGACATGTAATTACACATTTTATGTAACAATTCTTAATAGAATTAATTGTGTTGCATACATAAAGCTTTTAAACACTAAGAAATAAAAAAGTAAATAAAATAAATTGCATTATGTTCTAACCGGAAGAAACTTAATAATTCACAATAGAACCTGAACTTGTGATTTAATACATTACAATCACATATAAATATGTATGTTTTACTAGAAGAAACTTAATATTGCATAATATAACATGAACTAATAATCAAATACACATGTGCATTACACTTACATATAAAATGTATATTTTTAAGTATTGAATGATTAAACAAAACAGATTATTAATATATACTTGTAAAAATGACGTTGTAGGAGAAAAGTGTGAATGAAAATATTTTTAAGAAAAGTAAATCGGTGTACGGATTTCAAAAGCTTAATAAAAAAAAGTGGACAGTTTTCTTATTATAGTAGTCGATTCATTTGACATTAATTCGATAAATTTAGGTATGTTTGGTCTTTTCCAGTAGTACTTTGGTAAATACTTCGTTCTTATTTCACAATATAAAGTACATTCTAATAAAAAATGGTATTCATCCTCGAGTTTGTTACATATTATACATTTTCTTTCATTTCTTGGAATTTTGTTTGGTTTATGCCATCTCCCAGTTTCAATTAATAACCTATGTGCTGAAACTCTAAATCTTGTTAATGCTATTCTAAATTTCTGAATGTTAATTTGTTCAAGATACAATTTAAAATCAAAGTTTGAAAAAAGAATGTAAAGGGAAGCTCTTGATGAATTACGTAGAGATTCAGTCCAGTTTTGCATGTAGTTATCTTTAAGTCTCTGTTTTACCAAGTTCAAAAATAAAATTTCATTTCCCACTCCCTGATTAACCCAAACATGATGAAACCCTTGTCTCTGAAGTAATTGTTTAATTGAATTAGCTCAACATTTATAATTTGGTTTTTGTTCTATATTAAAGATCATCATATTGTACAACTTTTTTAATGTACAAATGTTGTTTCGATTTCAATATTTTAAACCAAAATTTTAAGATTCGTATCATTCTAAGCTGTATTAATTGTTCTCTGCCTAATTCTCCATAAACGAAGTTATTTTGAGTTTGTGGCCTTACTCCTAATAAATTTTTGCAAAGTTTCAAATGAAAATTTTCTACCCTTTTTGCTTCCATGAAACCTCATACCTCAAAAATTGCCTGTATTGCTTGTCCTGAAAGTGCTTCGAAGGTTTTGAAAAATGACCCCCCACTGTACAAAACGATTCTTAATATGTAAATTTATTTACTTTTTCAAATTCTGTATTTCCATATAAAAATCTTAAATTCTGCTGATTTCTCCCTCCCTTTTTAAAAACCATTATTTTTGTTTTATTTACGTTTAGTTTTAGTTTCCATTCGTCGCAATAATCTTTTAAAATATTTAATCCATTTTGAAGATCTTCTTTTGTTTCCGATATAATAGCAATGTCGTCCGCATATAATAATAAGAACAATTTTAGAGTACCTAAGTCTATGCCTTTAAAACCTTTTAATATAAAAGTATCTTCTAAGTCATTTATGTACATAGAAAAGAGAAAAGGGGACAAGCTGTCCCCTTGACGGACCCCTAATGAACACATGAAAGTTTCGCTCAATGTATTTGATAATTTAATTCTGGATTTGACGTTTGTATACATAGATTTCAAAACTTTCATTACTTTTCCCCTGACTCCTAATTTTATTAGCTTTAACCATAGATTATCCCTAACAATAAAATCAAATGCTTTTGTAAAGTCAACGAAGCAAACAAAAAGACGTTTTTTTTCAGAAATTATATGATTAATTATACTTTGTAATACAAAAATATTATCTACAGTTCCCATCTTTGACCTAAATCCTGATTGCGCGTCAATGTAAACGTGATAGTTCTCTGCCCAATTATTAAGACGTGTATTAAGTATTTTTGAAAAAAGTTTACCTAGGGTACTTAGTAATGTCACTCCCCTGTAATTTTCCGGTAAATTATTATCTCCTTTTTTATAGATAGGTATTATGAAACCTTCAAACCACATTTGGGGAAAATAACCTTGCGATAGTAATTTGTTGAAAAGCTTGAGTAAATATGGTAGTAGCGAGTTAATTCCGTATTTGTAAAATTCATTTATAAAATAGTCGGGTCCTCCGGAACGATCATTCTTAAGTTCTGAGCATGCGCGTAATATTTCATTTTCCGTGATTTCTAAATCAAGTTCATCAAACATACACTGAAATTCCCCATTGACATATCGTTCGTTAAAAATAAATTGCGTCATCGTCCGGTTGAAAAAAAATTGAATCTGGGTTATTTATCGCTTTAAAGTATTCGGCGAAATGTGTACAGGATATACTATGTTTTTCTGCCCTTATACCTGTATTCTTTAATAGCTTCCAATATTCTTTTGCATTTTTATAACGGAATTTTTCTAATTTTTCGGTTTCCTGAATATCGTGATTAAGCTTTTTATTTCTAATTAATGTTTTATAATCCGTTCTAGATTTTACCATATTTATTCTATTTTCTGTAGTTTTATCTGCTCTATAAATATTCAAGTTTCTATAAAATACTTTTTGTTTCCCCTTACAGTCATTATCGTACCAATTATTTCTTTGTTTCGTTTTTTCGGGTTATTTGCCCTTTTTCTGAAGATTGGGTCACATACACTGGACAAAAACTCATTAAATTCTTGTAAATTTTGATCTATATCTTGATTTTCCGATACTAATTCACAAATTTCGATTAATGCATCAAGTTTTAATGGTGCCAAAGCGTTCAAAGATTCTAAAAATTCAAATCTCTTGTCATTATTCCATTTGTATGAGTTATCTGCATATTCACATTTTTGATCATCTAAGTTTGTGTAATTGCTTTCTTCGTTTAGGGCAGCACGTTTGATTGAAAAAATTATCATACAGTGATCGGACATAATGTTCGGCTCCTCAACTTCGAATGAATTAAAAAATGGTATTAATCTTGGAAAACAAAGAACATAATCTACTGTACTACTGCCAGATTCCTTAATACATGTATATTTCCCTATGTGTTTGTCCTTACCAACCCTTCCGTTCATTATTCTCAATCCAGTCATTTTACAAAAATCTATTAAAAATCGCCCGTTTTCATTTATAATTTGATCTTGAAATATCCTAGGTAAAACTAAATCTTCTGAATAATCTTCTGGCATGAGATTAAGATTAAAAAGATATTCATTTTCTACAAAGTCATGTAAATTTCCGACTCTACTATTTAAATCGCCAGTGATAATAAAATTACAATTTTCACCATAAACGCTTTGAAAATGTATCATATCTTCCATTAATAAATCAAAGATACAAGAGTTACTTAAAACTTCCCTAGAACTCCCTTTCGGTACATTGTAACATAAACAACATAATACATCTGTATCATAATTAAACAAACACTTATCTAATCTTATCCACATAATATAGTCTTCCGTAGATTTTATAAATTCAACAAAATGTTTAATACTGTTTTTCACATACATAATAATACCGCCGCTGTCTCTGCGTGCGTTTTTATGTGTAAGTGTACGGTCAAGTTTATAATGCATAAAACCTTCTACATCACATGTTAATTTATCGTTTAACCATGTCTCTGTAAGTAAAATTATGTCTTTATTTGAAAATAATTCTAAAAGTTCTGTTGACTCCAGTTTATTATACCGCTTTCCTCTCAATCCTTGTATATTACAAAGAGAAATACGCAGTTCACTTTTCTCCGCGTTTTCCTATTCACACGAGTTCCCTACTTCGGGCCCCTCTGATGTTTCGACTTTATTTGCAGTTGGGTTTTTACGGGGTCTATTTTTAGATACCGACCTACTTCTGCCTTTCTGTTTTATAGTTTGTTGATTCGGAGTGCTTTGTGTTTTATTCGGATTAATGTTCGCTGTTTTGGAATTATTTGTGTTGGAATTGACTGCTGTTGTTCTATTTATGCTTCTGCTGCGCCGTGGTACTTTGAACAACTGTTTGAGAGATGTTTCCTCGCTTACAGGTAAGTTATTTTCCGTTCCAGCCTCACATGTATTTTTAGCACGTGGCGTAATTGAACTTGACCTTGTATATGAAATGTCAGCTGTGTTTACTATTTGTAAAGTGGGGGCGTGGTCCATTTTATGTGTATTGTTTGTTTCTGTACTGTCGAATACTTCATTGTGTGTATGATCTATCAACTCTATTTGACTGGGCATGTGGATATCGTTGGTATTTGTACGCGTGGTTGTATGTGAGGTACTAGGTTCGAAAGAATAAACCCTTGACTCTTGTAGTACTTCAAACCATTCCGGGAACATATCATGTACAAGTTTGTTATTGATGTATAACTTGGCCGGGTACTTTATGACAATTTTTTCACGCCTTGATCTAGCCTCCCTTGCTTCTGTTGTACTATACAGTTCTTTTCTAGCTTCTACAATTTCATGAGGATAGTCTCTATCTATACTGAATGGGGTCCCCTTTAATTTGTAAGCGTTATTCAGGACAATTTCTGTGTCAACATAATCTTTGAATTTTACAATCAAAGGTCTTTTAGGATCTGACATGTTTCTATATTTTTGATTTCTTGGAGAGCCTAGTCTATGTGCTCTCTCTATAACATTTGGATTTTCTGTTGGCGGATTTAGATCTAGTTCATCCCTTAGGAAATTTGAGATTAATTCTGCAGATGAAATGCTGTTGTTTTCAGACAACCCCCAAAATATTAGATTATTTCGGCGGCTTCTTGCCTCAATATCCAGTGACTTGTATGACAGCATTTTAAGTTTCTTATTTTGCACAGCTAGACATCGTTCTACCCATGTAACTCTTTCGTTTGCTACAGATGCTTTTTCATTTACTCTAGTAAAGTTCAATATGTACTGGGATTGTTTCGATTCTAAGGACTCTAGTTTTTCAAAATTTCTGTTCATGCCTTCAAATAATGCTGTTAATTTATCATCAGTCGAAAGTTTTGCGAAATCGTCACACTCTACACTACTGTTCTTTTTCTTTCTTTTCCTCTCTTGAATTTTCCATGATTCCGTACCCCACCCATCAAGGTCATTTAGGCTCTCAAATCTGTTCTCTGTATTTATCATGTTTTCTTCGTATATACTGCTCTCTAAACTCATATTTTCAAAATATCAATGTTAATACCTTTCAATGGCCTTATTATTACCAGTAAATATCTTTTTATCTTTCTTAGATACAATTTTCAGCTTTTTTTCTTTGTTTACAAAACTGACCACCATTGACCGGAAGTATATCATATATCATATAGTATATCATATCTAGAAATATATAATAATATATATTTGCACAATTTTACAATACTGTTTTTATTTTAAGGACAGAACAAATCACGATATCTGAACACAGATGTGTTGACAAAATAGAAACGTTATATATGTCTTTCTATTTTGAGAATAGCAATGACATATACAAAAAGTGGAATATTCAATATCTCTTGTGTTACAACATATTACATTATCTTTTATTTATTGATAAATTATTACTGGTATACTTCCCTGTTTGTATCCTTAACAGATACACAGAATTTCTAAGTTTAACAAAATAAGTGCGTATATTCTTTTTTTTGAGGGAAGAGGGGGGGGGGGGTAACTATTGATAACAAAATTTGTTGTTATATTTCATTCCAATTTTGCTTAAAAGTATCTATCAATCTACATTTCAACATTTACAGAATGAGATCTCGGTTCCTCGAATACATTTGAGAATCCGTAATTATCTAACATTCTCTTCACATGAGAAACAAAGTTTGTAGCACCGTTGTAATAGTAATTAACATTCATTTTGTAATCATATCTTACAATAATGAAATCACTCGAGCTAATCTTTTTTAAAAGTATTTTAATATCCTAATATAGCGATTTATATGCAACGGATACCTTTACAATTCTTCATGCTAGAAATTTACTTCTAATATTCATTAATTCTTTAGACTTTGTAAAATCCCATATTTCAGACTCGTAATCTAAAATTAAACAAACAAAAGCATCAAACAATCGGCAATAATTCTAGGTTTAAGTCATACAATTTACATGTATAAAACAAAATATTCATATCTTTAAGTCTTTCGCCAGCCAAATGTTCTTGGTTTAGTGTATAATTGATAATTAAAATTTTCTACTACCTCGATATCATAGCTATCATAGGTCCATGAGTGATGTTGACGATATCGGCCCCTTTTTTCGGAAATCTATAATTCTAATAAACAACACTTGCAGGCGTTCACTAAAATCGGTCTAAAATAGCACCATAAAACGTTTTTGAATATATTCTGAACGTATATCATCTGCATATCTTTCTGTTAAGATGATATATGTAAGAAATTCAAAGTTTATACTTGTAGGCATTTGGACCTCAGTTGAGTTATTTTGAAATACCAAATGCAACAATTGAGGATTCTTTCTAGCATGAAGACATAAAGGAATGGTATATTTAGGCATATTATATAAGCTCCATTAATTCTATATACTTAATTCGATATTCTAACTGTCTTCGATCAATTTGACCATGTTTACTTATTGTTTTAGGCGTAGACTCTGAATATTTCAATATTGGAGAAAAATCCGGTGAGATTGTCCTCACAAAAAGTATTTCAAGTCAAAGGCAGATGTATGTTTTTCAAGCAGTCGCTGACGACGGACATGGCCACAATGCCTCTTGTACAGTAAGTTGAATATATTTTGTATTAGTTTAAATTATTCTTTCACGAAATATCGACACCACGTTTTCCCTTAAAGCCTGCTGAAATGTTATTTAGAATAAGGTAGCGCATGCACTTTTTCAGCATACGGAATATAAAAGCAATTGCAATAATGTTTAAAAAAACTGCTCAGACATGCATTGAAAAAAATATCGAAATATATACCAATAAATGAATAAAGCTGAGGAAACTTGTAAGGCATGATTCAATAATCTTTGTGGAACTTAAACGTATCAGTCAATACCAAATGCGTTTGTCGCTTTACAGTTCTTCAAGAAAATGTCACTCGAATAAA